TTTGTTTATGTTTATGCCTTTACAAATGATTTTGATTCTGATATGAGAAATTTTGCAGAAACAAAGTTCATTTTACAAGTTATATAGCAGAGTGTTAAGATTTTTGAGAAGTCATTCCTTTAAGCTACTGAGGCAATACCAATCCTCATTTTCAATTCTTGTCCATTGATCGTCAGTTATGTTAAGACATTGCCCATTGTACCAAGTATCACATTGGTCACAAGCTATCCAGTCTTCCCCATCTATATACTTTTTTTACATAAAGGACATATTAATTCACTTTTTCCTTTTGTTTACATTTTTTCTTGGTGAACCTAAATTTTTGGGGCTTTCTTTTCCTGGATTTTAAGTTTTCATTGTGGTTCTAGAAGAATCTTCTCGTTCTAATGCAGATGATGATGGCTGACTGGGTATGGTATGTTCTGCAACAGAGGTCAATGTTTGCTAGGGGGTCTTTTTTACAAGCCATATTCATTCAAGTGTTGAGGGTGTCTAATCTTATCTGTGGAAGGAATCACTGAACAAAGCAGTTCTTTAATTTTATCTTCTTTGTATTTGAGGACACATGAATATCATATGCAGAGCTCAAGTTCAGTAAATCTTTCTTAGTAAAAGTATGCAAACATGATATTCCACAATCAAAAATAAGTGATTTTAATTTTAAATGAGAGCCTTGTTTGCAGACAGATTTGTCTTCAAATATTCTTTTCATTGTAAGTGTTAAAGAGACATTTTGCTTTAAATCAATCCTCTTTCTCAATCGTTCAGTTTTTGTTTTTTGTAGAACATGAAGCATTTTTTTCTTAAACCCATTATCTGCAATTCTGCAAAACCTTTCAATCTTTGAACAGTTCATGCAAGCAATCATTAGCATCTTCAATATTAACCCTGAAAATAGTATCCTTGAATTAAAAATCAGAAAACAAGTTTTTCCTTTTTATAAAAGTACCACTGTCACTCTAAATTTCATTTCGGGTATAAGTAGGCAGATCTGTCCCAAACACTGAAAATGACTGTTCAGTTTGCAAAGAACATCTTTTGCTCTCTACATTTGTGATAAATTCAATGATTCATCATTTATGTTTGTCAGTCCGTTTGTCAAGTTTTGCTTTCTTTGTGTTTGATAAAGTGATTTTTTATATTTGGAAGAATTTTCAAGGAATGCATATGTCTTGGTTAGAGAATCTAGCATTTTAACTTTCAGTACCAATTTTGAGTTCTGATTTCTGTGTGCTGCTTTGTACATATTGTTCGTAGACTGTTTCAATAATGGTAACGACTTTTAGCAATGCACCTTCCAAATATATACCTAAGCTTGCCTTTAGATGAGTCTGACATTTCTGTCAATGATGAGGTATTATGTCTCTTCCAGATTAAAGCATCACTGTACCTTTTCAAAACTTCAGAAGTGACCTTTTCAAAAATTTTGCTACACATTTCAAATTGTGGACTTGAAAGTTCGCATTGAAACAGAGATTTGACCAGGGAAACATAAATATCTGAGGAAGAGAACTGATAAACAGCAGAGAAATATTTGGTCCATGTCTTTGGTTCAGTGGATTTTTGCGACACATCACCACAATTTTTGACAAATATGTCCTTTATTTCAGAGTAAAGCTTATTGACAAAATATTCAAATCATTTGGCTTTTTTGTAAAATGTTTTCATAAATGTCGTCGCCCGCGTGGCGCAGTGGTAAGAGCGTCTGCTCTAGAGTCGCGAAGTAAGGAGTTGATCCTTACGTCGCGGGTTCGAATCCCACTGTGGGACGTGGAGACCTGTCCTTCGGATGAGACCGTATAAACCGAGGTCCCGTGTTGCAGTAGGTGCTGGCACGAAAAAGATCCCTCACTGCTCAATGGCCGTAAGTGCCGAGTATAGGAGAAAATTTGCAGCTCTCCACCGGCAAGTGGTGGCGTCTCCATATGAGTGAAAAATTCTCGAGAGGGACGTTAAAACATACAAACAAAAAACATAAATGGCATTTATTACTTTGTGTGAATGTGGTATACTTTCACAAGAGAAGAGCTGAAATTTCAGCTGTATCAATGAACTCCTTTACTGGTTCATTATGTGTAGATTCAGAAACCTCAAAATCAGGTGATAATAAAAAGTCAATTATGCTTATTCACTGAAATCTGACAATTCTTCAGTTTCATTTTCAGAAACTGTATGCTGTCCTGTAGATTCTAAAAAAGAACAAACAACCCTACAACAACCAAGTTCTCCTTGAACATCAAAGTTTTTTACATCATTGCTTTCGTAAAACTGGTATTAAGCAGGGTTATGCTTCATAACAGAAGATTCATTAAAACCTAGGACTCGTAATTCTTTTTTTCAGTAGCTCTGCCTATGGCAACTCCTAGTTAGTTGGCCTGCCACAAAAATATTGGTAGCATCAACTTCAACTCTATGCAAAGTTAAACCCTGTGCTTTGTGAATAGTAATACAATAGGCAAGGCAAAGAGGATACTGTTGTCTTGAAGCAATCACCTTGCCATTATTACAACTAAGAATAAATCAGGCTTCAGATGGCTAGTTGTATTCGGCGCGTCGGCGCGCCAGCGCGTCCATCTCATCCCAATATCACAAAAGTATTTTCTCCCTGCATTAAAACACTCAAATGACATCGATTTTCTTAATAATTTAAGCATTATCGCTTATATTCAAGTCGAAAGCCCGAGCCCGATTGTAATTTTTGTTGGGTGAATCCAGAAATTTTTCCCTAGGAGGTGTTGGCTCAAATCGCAAGGGAAAGAGGTCCGAGGCATAGCTTTAGTAATTTTACTATGTCAGTTTAAATAAATTTGAATTTTCCAGGGATCCGGATCCCCTTTGATCCTTGCATGCCTTACCACAATTTGTGCTAGAGTAATCCGAAATTTACCCCAATTTTTTGAGTTGGCCTACTTTCGATTTCTCTCTCTCTCTCTCTCTCTCTCTCTCTCTCTCTATCTTTATGTATAACAAAAATTTACCGGTATTACGTAATGACCCTAGATAAGAAATTCTCAAAAAAAAAAAAAAAAAAAAAAAAAAAAAAAAAAAATGATGGTAATAATCTTTCTCCCCTTTTCTTCAATAAATTATTTGTCTAAAAAAATGCGAAAGGTAATTTCATCAAGTTTGCCAGTTTTACATTCTATAAATAAAGGTTCTGTTACCAGGCTAACACTTGTGCGGGGAGCACGTGACCCGATGCACACCTTTATGCAAAACTCCCCGCTGAGAACCCGTCTGTGTATAAACGTTTGACCTTGTTGCATCAATATTTATTTACTTCTGTAAGTGATGTTAGACCCCGAAACGATACAAGTGATAAATTGTTTACGCTGTTAAATTCAAACTGCATTTTATTTAATTTTTTTTTAAACATTTTTTATTCATACTATATGCCATAAATATATTTTTGTGTTACATATTCTTCCAGTGTCTTGTTGTTATTCATCTGTAATTACAATGTATGTTTCATGTAAAACGGACTAGTTCATTTCTCTGTAAATGGGCCCGGCTCTCTGTACTTCTCAGTACTTTGATTATTTATGATATCGCGCCCGATGCTAACGGAATTGTATAAGCGATAATTTATTTAATAAACAAAATCTGTTGCGCGAGCGCGCCGACGCGCCGAATACAATTAGCCCTTCAGATTTGTTGTAAAGTTTTCCGAGTTGCCCCCAATGAAATTTACAGTAACACTATCATTTGACATGCCTGTGAAAGTGCCCCTCAAACCATTAACTAGTTTTACACTTAAATTTTTCAAAAGCATAAAGGGGCAGCCAGTTTTTAAATGCAATGCTTTGGGATCAGGTAAGTTTTCAAGTTTGGATACATCGCCATCATCAACTGCATTATAGACAATTTCATCTGCATCCAAGTCCATTAATTTCATGGCGTTGTTAATAAAACAATCAAAATTTCGTGCACACAACCGAAGTGGTTCAGGACCTGGAGGTAAGGGGCGACTTAGTCTAAGCAACAAATCATGTGTCTCCCTAGGTAAATCCCCCCTGGAATGGTCTTTCACTGCATTAATAAATCAGACTGGTTTTGGCGTAAAACATCTTTCAATATATTCTTGTGGCCAAAAATTTGGGCAAAAACTTTTGATTTGAAACAAAATTCCCCTGCATTATTTTTAAGATTATCTGGGACAGGGGGCAGCTGAAAGAAGTCACCACTTGCTATAACATGAATACCTCCAAATACAATATTACTTTGCAAAATATTTCTACATACATGTATGTATTCAATTTGATCAAATAGCTTCATTGACAGCATTGAAATTTCATCTATTATCAAACAGTTTGTTGCTAAACTTTTAATTTGTAAATAATCTCGTCATTGGAAAATCTATCATCACCAATCCCTGACCAGGAATGTATTGTTTGCCCATTCACATTCAAGGAAGCAATTCCAGTTGATGCCGTGATTGAAACAGTCTTCCCCTTCTCACGATAGTATTCTTGAAATTTCTTTAACCAGATAACTCTTTCCGGTGGCGCTTTGTTCGAATATTAACAATGAATGGCCCTCTTTGGCCTTATCCAGATTCCTCTGTCGACATTTTGTCAAAGCCATGACTTTTTCTTTCACTTTTGCGTTACTTAACTTAGCAACCAATGAAATCACTTTATAACATTTAGACCTAATTACCGGAAATAGATGTACTCCATCCGAAGTCTTAAAACGTGTCGAAGTAATTATCGATGAATAAACGAGCAGTTTACAACAAAGGGTCTTTATTAGAGAGGTCTGAAACGATTTATTTAACAACAAAAAAGTCTCTCAAAGCGAACGATGTCATTTGAAAGTAGGTTTATGATTGATATATTAACAAAATACAAGCTTGAAGCGGGGATGCCTGAAATTGAATTAGGTACCTTGTGGTAAAAATAAGTAGGGGTGCCCCGTATACGAAACAAATGTCTGTGCTGCAGTTCTAATTATGTTATCAGGCTGTGAATATGGAATATCCTCAGTTTATTATTTTTCAGAGACTATGACAGAAAATGTAGACATCGACACTTCTGTTATTGTTCTGTCTGTCCTGTTGCCGACTGCTGGGATATGTCTTTTCGTCTTCTGTTATATTTTTTTCTACTGGTGCTTTAGGTACCACTTATGTAGGGGTGAAAAAGCAGATCGAGGTAAGTGTCAGCACGCATTCTTATGGCCCGATCCCCTTTTTATATCCCCGGGGATTTCTCATTTTTCGTCAAATATTATTTCGATATAAAGAATTATACTGAATAAAAATGTACATTTAATAACTCTAGTTCACAGGCACTTGTTTCGTATATGGGGCCCCCAATCGTTTTCTTAAGAAAAAGGCAGGGATACTCCACAAAGGAAACAAGTGCCTGTGCTCTAGCTTTCAGGATACATTTGCTTTTGCTCCTACTTATATAGGACAGTGAACTGGTTAATAATTCTCTACAATCACTTAAGGCAAAAGCAAGAAAATCTGTCTTACAAGTCTTGTAATTTGTTTCGAATTCGTACGTAATATTTAATCTATTTCAGGCACAAAATGTTATGACGTCTTATTGTACAAGGACGATGATCATACAGTGGAAGCGACGAGACTGAGAGACGAGCTGAAACGTTTAATGTACACAGTGTGTACACCAGAAGATAGTTACAAAGGTCAGTGTAGTTCAAAGCAGCTGACGTTTTCACGATTTTAGTATTTGACGTATCACACGTCAGAAACGGCGCCATTGTGGGAAGTAAATAAATTGTATCGAAAATCGACCCAAGAATATCGCCCCCTGTTTTCATTGTGGCGCCGTTCCATGGGTTCTGACGTTTTCCTGGAACGTCAAATATCAAACATCGTGAAAAAGTCTGGAAAACATATTTCGGACTAGGGCTAGAGGTGCAATCATCAACATGCGAATTCTCGAATGATGGCCAAAATACCTTACTCTTGTACAAAAAATGTTCGCAAGCGCTCGCGAGCGCAATCTGCGTCGAACAGACATCAGCGTTCGATGGTCTCATTTGATAAATGAATAATATTAATTTCTAGACCTTGGCAATGGCTAATGAATGCATAAAGTCAACATTTTCAATTTCAAGAATACTAATATTAGCTCGTCGACATTCTTTTTCCGTATTTTCACTTCGTTTATCCTTAAATAGTCAATGATACGTTCTAACTACAATTCTCGTTCTTCTCTTTACTGTCTCAAAATAGCAATTTCACATCATAAGTCCCCGGTTTTTCCAATGCCATTCAAACTTTTATTAAAATGTCAGAAATCATTTCACAGTTTCTATACGTTCAATCATTATGGCAAAGTTTTCCATTGACACCCCCCCCCCTTTATTTTTTTTAAAAATCGATCTCGGAAGATGACTTTTTTTTCAGAGTTGACAGTCTCAGTATAATAGTCTACGATCGCTGCCATCGTACCTGACAAAAAACTATGCCCTCTTTGTCTTTAACATTCCGAAGGTACAACATCCTCACACTCGGGGCTCCACTCCTCGTGAATGAAAAACTGAGTGTATTTACCGATAACCAATTGTTATCTTTAGTGTAACTAATGCTGATTTTTTTTCTAACAAAAATATTTATGTACTAAACAGAAACGGACAAATTTTACCATTAAATGTCGCTGATTTTAGCTTGCCCCACAGTTATTTTTGAGATTCTGTTTTATCCGGGCTCCCCTTTCCTATAAACTGATTGTTAAATCTTATGTTATTTAGAAAAGAAAAAATAAACAAGTTGCATAAATTACAGTAAATTCATGTGTTTTATTTCACGAATATGGAATTTATGAGAACTTCGTTTAAATTGATCTTTAATTAAGAACCCAAATTCAGAGAACAAATCATCTATTTCGTAAAATATTTTAGTATTGAGGAATACCGTAAATAGTAGCTCATTTAAAAATTAAACGATCTCTACACCACTTAGCTCAGTTTTCTCACACGTCCGTATCGAATTGTACCCGCCCATTTCACTGCCTAAATGTATCATCAAATGTGATGGAAATGACTTAAGCTGCATATTTCTAATCCTACCAGTTAATGTTCCGCTGTCTCAAGCCTTCCTGCCCCATACCTAAGTTTCGGTATTCTTAAATGTGGATAGAAAATACATTGTATTATCATTAGTGTACTATCATTCTTATACAGGGCTGACGATGAAATTATTATCACTTTATTCATAATTAGCCATTATAAATACAAAACAAGTTCAAATGTGATTGAGATGCATATAATTATGCTGACTCGCGGTTACAAAAAATCAATTGCTAAGGTAACATCATGACTTAATATTTTAAGTCTATTTATAGGTGGAGAGATGCAGAGCCTACAGGAATTAATAGACTCCAGTTCCAGTGTTATCTTCTTTTGCAATTACAACGACAAACTTATGGATACAATCCTAAGCAAAGCACAAGAAAGCCTCTCCGTTTTTGTGATTCGAAAGAGCAAAGAATCCAAGAAAATAAGTAGGCTACGTAACAAATCAATGGCTGGTTTTAAAGAACTTTGCTGGCCTTCACACCGCGAGAGTTCTTTTGTTTGTGTAAGATGGTGGAAAGATGAGTTCTATTACAGGCTTAGATATGGACTCCCAAAGCCCAGATCAGACCAATACTCACACGAAGAAGAACAAATCGAAAACGAAAGAGGAATGTATACTGATATTAACCGCTGGGAAAACGAAATGAACAAATTATAGACTGTACAAGCTAAACATGCAAAAGAACAATCAAATACTGCGTTTGAATTTTTAACCTATTGTGTTTCATTTTTTTTGGGGGGGGGGTCGTTGTTGTTATGACTTGTCCCCTAATGATGCAGGAATGAGTTCCCCATATGCCACAGCACTCAGCTGAGTCACAGATACGTTGATATTGTAGCCTTGAACTTTATCTCCATGAATTCAATACAAAGTCGGAATACTTCAGTCAGAGTTATGAATTGTAGTCTTGTTGTTCGTGCAAAGTTTATGTTTCTATATCAAAAAGGTATAATCTCAAGAATCATTTCTTTTGAATAAGGCTTTCACAACATAACTTAAAACATAAGAGTTTCATCATTATAAAATGACCAAATATGAGGAAAAACCATTGTCACGTCATCAGAGACACCCAGGTGACATTTTGTCTGTCGTCGTGTTCATCAGAAGATAGATCAGAACACTTTATCAGAATGGATTAAGTGTTTTAGAAATATAAAGAATCGTATAAGCAATTTAAAAGGCATTATGCGAACCATCTATCTTTTTTTTCACTGAGCCGGGGGTGATAAGAATTAGGAAGACTACATGAGCAACATGTTGTCGCCCGCGTGGCGCAGTGGTTAGAGCGTCTGCTCTAGAGTCGCGAAGTAAGGAGTTGATCCTTACGTCGCGGGTTCGAATCCCACCGTGGGACGTGGAGACCAGTCCTTCGGATGAGACCGTATAAACCGAGGTCCCGTGTCGCAGTAGATGCTGGCACGAAAAAGATCCCTCACTGCTCAATGGCCGTAAGTGCCGAGTATAGGAGAAAATTTGCAGCTCTCCACCGGCAAGTGGTGGCGTCTCCATATGAGTGAAAAATTCTCTAGAGGGACGTTAACAACATACAAACAAACAAAATGAACAACATGTTATGGTTCCAGCTGACAAGATTTGGAACAATATTATCTTTGTTTGCAAGGCTAATTGTCATAACTGTAATTTAGAACTTGGTTTTAATTCTACTTCCGGAATTCCAACAAACTCGCAGTTCATTTTCTAAAGAAGAAACTCTTCAAAATATCATTTCTGAATCAGTGTTTAATAGCGAGCGCAGCGAGCGGCGCCGCTTCGCGCCGCTCGCAATGCTAGCTCTAACGACAACGCCTGGGCGAAGAGAAAATTCGGACTTACACATTGATCCAAATGAATTTTTTTCCGCAGTAACTTTTGGACCACAATGCATCGCTTGTTTAAGCTACGTTCTCGCGAGAATAACAACAACAGTTTAACAAAAAATAAACTTGCCTTGATTTGATGGATATATTGCAGATAAACAGTAAATAAAACGTTCTTCATTAAAGTCAACAATATTCAGACTTCGGTTTGGTAATGCAACTTCAATACGACGTCATGTGACGTCAGAGTCTAGACGCACCAAATGTCAAGTGCAGTTTGACGATCGAGCCCGATTTAAATTAAACCTGAATAAATATCTGCGCTCGCCCTAACGGTCGCACCGTCAACATATTACTTTTAAAATTCCAGTCAACCAAGGTGAGTGCCTATACCTATACTGGATTCCTAAGCTTCATAAAAGTCCTTGACATACAGAGATACATTGCCGGTGTTGTAGAGTGAGACTTCCGCCTTATTTGGACTTCCCCCGGATGTCTGAATTTAGAGTGAGACTTCCCCCTGGGGAAATTCTGACTCCAGACTGTGAGAACTCCCGGGGAACTTTTATTCTAGAGCCACACTTTCCTCTAGGAAGACCTACTCTACTAGTAGTTGTAGAGTCAGACTTCCCCCATAGCAGGTCTTCCCCTTCATTTAATCTTGCTTTCACTAGTACTACAATCACTCTATAGAGTCTATGCGTTTGAACTCTTTAAATAAAATTTTATATCATTATTTCCTATTTTAGGCTTAGATAAGTATACCGTACTCATAAGTTTAACATAATATGAAATAAAAGTTAAGACAGCATGAGCACTACTTCTGTGTTAATTGATATTATTTCAAATATAAAATTTATACCCTCCTTTTCCTTTCCACTAAGTTGACAAATTTAAATTTACCTAAATGAGGAGGGGTTGTTTCAGTCTAGAGGAAGACTTCAAGGTGAAACATGGCCGTGGAATCGGGCTTTCACAAGGGGATAGTATCAATCTAGAACAGTTCTTGCGAGGGGAAATAAGGCTCCAAAGTGAGGCTATCCCCTTTGGTAGGCTTGCTCTCTTTGGATACTTTCAAGGGGAAGTATGCCTCTGGAGGGGAAGAATGGCTCTACAGTAAGAAAAGAGTAGAATAACTCTAGAGTAAGACTTTCTCCTAGGGGGAAGGGGGTGGCTCCATCTAGAGAAAGACTTTCGAGGGAAGTCTCCCTATCGGGGAAAGTTTCGCTCTACATCTCCGGGTCCAGCAAATCCTCTCCCAAGTCCCTATCTTCTTACAAAAATATTAACTGCTGTTAAGGTGAAACTATAGTATATTCTAGAAGTGGTGTAAATCAGATATGGATTCTCAAAAAAGCAAGAAAATTCAAAATCGCCAAATTTCTCAAATGTTCACGTTTTTCATCGTAAACTTTTGAAATTTTCGGCTTCTTCTTCCATGGAACCCCTGAACCAATTTCAACCAGTTTTGGTACACACACGCACACACACACCTACACACACACACACACACACACATATATATATATATATATATATATATATATAGAGAGAGAGAGAGAGAGAGAGAGAGAGAGAGAGAGAGAGAAACGATGGATATTAACGAAGGCTGCGGAATATGAACAAAACCACCAAAATCTTCAGATACCTTTATCTTTACCCCCTGGACCTCTAGCTAGCAAATTGTTTGCATAAGGAATCTTTTACCAAAACTGATTTCGAAATCATTGTACCCTGGGATCAGGCTCCAGGGCGGGGTTGAGTTGGCCATATATAAAAATGTTTTACTCATGGACATACACATATATAGCAGGTAAACAGGAAACAGAATTATAACGAATTCTTCACCTTTTGCCAAAATTGTAAAATTCATTGCCCCTGAGTCCATGGTGGCAGGTCATAGTGTTGGGCTTAGTCGGTCATATACTAAAACACAGTATATCTTTAGAATTTTCTCTACCAATTTAGCAGGCAAAATGTACATGTTTGAATGATTATTATAATGATAAACACTTAGCCGTCTATCCAAATTGTGAAATGAATGACCTCTGATTCAGGCCTCAGGGAGTGGCCAATTGGTCAAATATTGAAAATGCACTATACCTTCGAAAATCTTTACGCATGGACATAAGCATGAAAACTGCTTGCTCTATTGCAATGTGTACTTAATCCTTTTCCAAAATAGAAAATTCATGGATCCTGGGTAGAGCGCTCAGGTCCCATAAGTTGCATATGCATGTGTTTCTAACAGAAAGCCGAAAAAATCTCTAGGTTTACTGAAAATAGGTATAATTAAATTTAAATCTTTCATCTTGAAATATAATTTTTTCATCATGATTTAAGAAATCTAATTGCTAATAAAATTAAACTGTAATAATGAATAATATCACGGCCTCAATATCAAATGTTGATCTAGGCATCTACCATTGTAATGTAGCTCAATAACTAACCCCTGAAAGAAAAGAGACTATCATGCGCACGTATCTTAATAGTTTTGATTTTTTATAACAAGGATAACTAGTCCCTAAAACAACCCCTCCCTTATTTTCTTTTCATCCTCTAAAAGTTGATTGTATCATACACATTTCATATCTCTAGAAATAAAGATTTCTACTATTATGATACTTTATGTATAAATATAGTATAAATATGTTTATTAACCAGTTAAGATTCATGTGTATAAGTGATGATTTATACGCTAATATGTACCTACGGGATTCAGAATTGGCGTTTACTATCTTTCGGATTAAAAGACGTAAACTTTGCGTTTGATCATTTTTAATAGCAAGGGTGGGTTATCTTTGTAAAAATGGTGTGTTTTCTCTGTGGAGAGTTCTAATTGGGTGCATTGTCCTAAGAGCGAGTTTTCTTAAGGTCGATCTGTCTAGCATTGTAGCGCTCGCGCAATCTGAGTTTTCCCAATCGCATCCGGTTTAATCTTGCTATATATTTTCTTTTCTTTTACAGTGATGCGCATTAAAGTGATAATATTTTTGGTTGAATAGAATGTTTGGGTCTATTTATAGAACGATATTGGTTTTTTTTTTGTCTTTATATCTATAAAAGAGTTTCAAAGAAGATCAAATTTACTTTCAAGAGCTCTTTTGTACCTACATAAATGTGTTATTCATTTTAACATTTATTAATGTTCGTTTAGTCAAACAAATAAAAACAAAAACATTTTTCTCCTTTCTAAAATAATGTAACAACACACGTTCAAAAGAAAGCATAAAACATTCCATTCAAACGTAAAATTTTACAACTTCAATTGTAGTCATCATTATATTTACAGCTTTACCAAGAGGCCCTAGGGCCACATCGCTCACCTGAGCACTTTGGCAAGAGAAAAGCAGAGATCAGTTCAGTATTGAAAAGTTTAAATATAATAAGTTGTCATACCCTACCCCCACCCGGAAGGGGCTGGGGATGAAGCATGATTTGAACAAAACTGAATCTACACTAACCGAGAATGTTTCCATATTTACGTATATGGCTAATCATGGCTTTAAAAGATTCTTACAGATTTTCTCCTTTATATTCCTATGTTAAAGTTTGATTTTTTATTCTGACCTTGTCCAGCCCCTACCCCCTGTGAACATGATTTAAACAAGCTATAATCTACACTACCTGAGCATGTCACAGCCATAATTATCTGATACTCGTTTTAAATAATAAGTCAGACAGCTGTTGGGTTCGATATATCTATTTCAATTACATGGTAAATTCCAGAGGACTGTAATTTACTATGCTTTATAGATGAAAATGATGCTGAAGATATAATGAAATGATGATTAGTGATTAGGTCATTAAATATTCAATCATATATAATATTTATTAGAATAATAATTTATTCTACTTGTGACATATACTAATCATTGCTTTGCTGTGATTGAAAAGAAGACTTTTAAAGATTCATCCTATATATTCCTTTGTAAAGCTGTGATTGTCCATTGTGGCCCCACCCCTCTTGGGGTCATGGTTTGAAGCTACGTGCACTACCTGATGATGCTTCCAAATAAATATGAATTATCATGAATTTGCTGTTTTTGGGAAGACGATTTTAAAAGA